ACTCTTCCAACTCTCTCCCCCATCCCACCGGGGGGGCGGGGGGAGGAGTGAGCGAGCGGCTGTGTGGTACTCGGTTGCCGACTGAGGTTAAACCACAACATTGGGGGGGGGGAGAAAAAGGGATTTTGCTGAAAGGCTTGGGGCTGCGTGGGGAGGGGGCTGCCGTACCTGGGCCGGGCACTCCACTCCTGGCTCTGCCTGTGACGCCGGGACGGCTCCGTCACCTCTCCGTGACATCCCGGCCTTGCCAAAGTCAACAGGAATTTTGTCCCGGACTTCACCGGAGCCAAGATGTTGCCCTTTGCATCCGTCTGTAGCTCTCCGTGAGCTGTGACAGTCCCTCTTGCCAGGCACCTGTCTCACAGCCACCACCTTTGTCCTCCCCTCCCCTTCCTGCTATTAAGCCCTGACTTGCATTAGCTCTGAAGCTCCCCGAGGGAGGCTCTCGTGCCAGAAGAACGGGCTCTGCAATCAAAGGAATTGGTGAGGATTCAAGAGACCCGGCTAACGTTTGAGGTACCCAAAGGAAAAAGTACAACAGAACAGCAAATTACCCTGTCATGAAGGAAGAAAAAAACCCCCGCCTTTAAAAACACCCGAACCCTGACAGAAGGATAAAACGTGAGCCATCCGTGGCAACCATCCATACCAATTTCCTCCCTGCTTCAAAAGCAGGATATTGACAGTAAATACCCCAGCGACGCAACCACGCTCGTCTCTGTCGTCTTATTTACGAGGATCCCAGACCTATTACACACAACTCCCCTCATCTTACGCATGCAGCGCCGCGGCAAGCCAAAAAGGAAGAGCATTTGGCTTTGATCTCCAGCAAGAAGTTGATGCTTAATCATAAAAAAAAGGAAACAACTCGATACACACACAATGTTGGTGCAAAATACGAGTCTCTCCTGCCAAGGGCAGAGACCCGGAGCAGCTCTCCGGAGCTCGGTGGTCGAGGTGAGGATCCCACGCCGAGCGAGCTGGGTGCTGCTCCGTGTGCTCGAATACGAGCCGAAGACGATACGACAGCCCGGCGGGGTTTATGGTGGGTTTTTCCCCCGTTTTTTTTACCCCAGGCCATATTAATTTTATAATCCATCGAAGAGCTCGCTCCTTTTCATCGAGAAGGTTGAGTAAACAAAGGGAAGCGCCTTCCCTTCCTTGCAAATACCCGCACAGAAGTTAACGCTGTTGTCAGACGACAGCCGAATTACCTGCGGCGACAAAGGGCAGATTACCAGCGAGGCGTATTTTTGATAAAAACACAAGTTTATTAACACAGCCGATTGCTCTATAAAATCAAAACGCACTTTCACACGCTTAATCCGGTCGGTAACTTGGAAGGACTGCGGGCTGGGAACGGTTTGCTCGGGTTTTAATGGTTGACTCATTAGTGGTCCGACCAGACTCGCGTATTTTCTACATTTGTAATAAAACATTAAGGTGGGAACATTTTATCGCCTTCAAAGCCGCAGGGTGACTAACTGCAGCGCACGTCAGCGCTTCGGCAGTACAATACCTTTATTTACAGCCCACGACCTTGAGGTGCCACCCGAGAATCACAATTTTACCCCACTTTGAGCAGGTCTGCGGTTGCCCAGCCCTGCCAGGACGCCCCGTCCCCGTGCCCTGCCCTCACCCCCTGCCTGTCCCCC